TTTGTGGAGCTTAGCAGTCGCCTTCGTGTTAATCTTATGGGGTAATTTTCTAATCTTTGATCTATTTTAGTTTTCAAGGGTTATTTAGCTGAAATTTGTTTGCATTAGAAAGTATGAAAGTTTATAATCTTGTATTATACTTATTAGATAATAATTGACAGTTTCCAATTTTCTATGAATAGATGATTAAAAAGTGCTTAGGGTTTTGATTAGTTTGGTATATATTAGAGGCTTGGATAACAGGTTTTTGGAAAGTCATGAAATTTATAAATATGGGGTTTTATAATACTATATAGTGTATCTTGAATTTGGTCCTTGAAAAGAAAGTTTTTGATTGTATTTTATAAACACAAGCTGACAAGCTATAAGCAGAAGTTGGAATTATTAGGTCTATTGTGCTTGATTTGGAGCCTGATATGTTGTGTGTCAGAACAAAGATGTTTATGTGTGAAGACACAACGACGAAGTTTAGGATTTGGAGGGTGCCTAAATATTGTAAGTGGTCAAGATTTTGTTCAGATGGGTGCTATTTTTGTTAATAACATGGAGTACATTCTAACTCGTTCTATTTGCAAGTTGATAGTAGGATTTGAGTTATTGGCTGTGGTAATCACTTTCTTGTTATTATGAGTGGTGCCTGTAATATCATACCTTATACAAGATGTCAAGATGTTCTTCTTCTTTTTTTTTTTTTTTTTTTTGGTTCATATGAGCCACTAGGGCAGGGATGAGAAATCATCCCAGGATCACCTGGAACCGGGAGGAAAGCTCTTACCAACTGAGCTATCCCTCACTCTCACAAGATGTTCTTCTTTGATTAAATGGCTAAATAATATGAATTATAATCATGTATATTCCAGTCATATTAGTGGCACTGACCATAATAAAGGAATATAGATCCCTTATTCTAATGTGTCTCATTGTCTCATCTAGTGCCCTCTTTTCATATTTGTAAAATTATCTGGCTGAAGTTCGTCTTTTAAAGTATCTTGGCAATAGAAGCTACGGGACACAAGATGAAACATATAGTCAAATTGTGGATCTCAACAAAGTGTTTATTATGTAGTTTTTGAAAATTATAGCTGACCAATTGACCATATGTGTGTTGGTACATGGAGCTACAAATCTGGCATCATTGCGGTGCTGAGTTTATCAACATATTAATACCATAATAAATGTCCAAGAAGTTTGCGTTTCTGATCACAATATCTTTATGGGGTTTTATAGGTATGACTACTCCGGATATGGGCAGTCAACAGGAAAGGTAATGACTCATCTTTGCTGCTTGCTTTGCTAGCAATACGTTGTGTAGTGTTGTACTAGTCAGCAGGATCATGTGTCTTTGTATTCTAGAATTTCCTTTAATGCATATTTTCATGTCCAATGTTTCTAACTTCCAAATTCTAAGCGGCAATGACGGAGGACTTTAGTAATTTGCATGAACCAACACCCCCTCATCCAGGGTCCAACAAAATACCCTTCTCCACGCTTGGTATTTGCTCAAATGGGCTCTGTACCTCTATGTTTAATCTTTATTTTATACAGGGTATAGCCCAACCTGCTCCCACACATATAATTAAAATCATGTAACATCTGAAGACCTAGGTTGCTTGGTAGTTGATTTTCTCTGATAATATTGCCATTCGTGTGTATGTGTAATACTCTTTATGTATTAGGTACATGTATTTCATTATTTTGTAAAATACTGCGTATTATGGTGCTTGCTGTTTGTCTTATTCAAGTCTTGAAGAAGATGCAGATTCTTGAATATGCATCATAATTAGCATCAGTGTGTTAGCTCTAATGAACTGTATATGGAGGCTATGGGATGCCTTTTAGTTGCTATTAGCTCTATGAAAAATCTAAACAAAACGGATGTATATGGAAGCCATGGGATGCCTTTTAGTTGCTATTAGCTCTATGGAAAATCTAAACAAAACGGATGTACTTTGTTTATGTTTTGTCTACTGTGTTTATATGTATCACATTTGTCTATTATTTAAAAACTTGAGTGTTCATGTGGTTTTGTTCATCATGTTTTTGTTATGAACTGATTTTCTGGGTTTATATTTCTAATTTTATAATGCAACAAATAAAGATTAAAGCTTGGGCAAGGATTACAAACGATAGGTTTAATAGCTTAAGGCTATTACTCTCCAATAGTGAGTTTAGCTCACAACTCTCTAACAATGGCTTTAGGCCATAACTCTCTCAAGGGTTCACACCAAATTTCTGCCTACCTTCTCCTTTCCCTCCTCTATCTATTTTTTAATACTAAAGCTAAAGACTCTAACCTAATAATACTAGACTTCCCAAATTGCCTCTCCTAAGGTTAGTCTATTATAGTTTTACAGATGTTTGTTGTCAACTTCATATAGTGGGTAAAGGCCTGGTTGCTTTGGTTCTTATCTTGCAAAGAATGGGTTTATTCATTATATGATGTTTCTCATGACATACATTCATTGTTTTTTCTTGGAACAGCCTACTGAATCTAATACATACGCCGACATTGATGCAGCATATAAATGCCTGAAGGAGCAGTATGGGGTGAAAGATGAGCAATTAATATTGTATGGTCAGTCTGTTGGCAGTGGTCCTACAGTTGATCTAGCTGCACGTACTCCTAACCTGAGAGGGGTGGTTCTGCATAGCCCAATCCTTTCTGGAGTGAGGGTTCTCTATCCTGTCAAAAGGACTTATTGGTTTGATATTTACAAGGTAACAACTTTTTTTTAAGATAAACGCATGAAATGTTTCACTTACTGGGCTTACATTTCTTCTTCAATTTGTGTCAGAACGTTGACAAAATGGCCCAGGTGAATTGTCCTGTCTTAGTGATCCATGTAAGTTGAACTCTTTTCTCATTTATGTTGTCTTCTGTAGGTATAGATTTGTTCAGTTTTGATTATTGAGTTATGATGGCCTTTGCAAACTCATTCAACACACCTTAATCCTTATATGAAATGAAGGGTGAAACTTTGTTACATATTTTCGGAAAAATAAAACAGTTTTCTTGAGAACATTTGTGGTCTTTGCAGTTTCTACTTTGTGGGTCTGTCATTAGTCAACTTTGAACTGCGTGTATACAAAAACCTTCTTTGGAAAATTTGCTTTGTGGTCCAAATTTGAACCACTTGATATCATTAAAGCTAAATAAATATTGATGAAATTGTAAATACTTTGCTACATGCTCCTTCTAAATGCTCTGCTTTAAATTTGTTTCTTGTAATTTATGTGGCAGCTCCTTCTGCAGTGCTAGTCTACCATTATTGCTTCTGTTGCTGACAAAATTTGTATCCGCTGTCAATGTTGTTCTATTAAATCCATAGATTAGTTGCTGAAGATTATTCAACCCCCCCCCCCCCCCCCAACCCCATTTTCAAAATGTTTACACATCATCTCATACATAAACCCAAATACTTCTTATGATCCTCCTGTGAACACTGTTGTATGTGAAAGAAGGGTGTCTCTTGTCTGGGGGCTCTAATTTTCGCGAAACAGTAATTGGAAAGGCATAGATTGACCAGCCACAGAAAATTAAGTAAAGGATTAGGTTGGTGAGCATTTAGTCTATATGATCCAAAGCTCTAAGTTGAAACAATGGCCGTTAGGGACTCTTAAAGTCTTAACTAGTCATGTGTCCCGGTTTTGTGATTCCAGATGCTAGTTTTACTGTTTCACCCTCATGCATGTAGACCGATAAGTAGTCTTACCTACTAAGACTAGTGTGTAGTGTCCTCCACCCCCCCCCCCCACCCCCACCCCCCCACCCAAACATAAAATAATGATAATAATGTATATATGTTGTGCCTTGGTGTGTCCTGGGGGGGAATGACGGATGACTGTGCCTTTTGTATTACATCTACTTGATTTTTTTTGGGTGACTTAACCTCTCTTTATGTCAGTTCTTTATGATGAATTGAGATTACAATGTGGCCTTTTCTTCCTTTATTTAGTTGAATAGTGTACACCTATAAAAATTGAAAATGGTACTAGCTGAACATTGTGATGCATGGACTTCTACCAGGGAACAGCCGATGAAGTTGTTGATTGTTCCCATGGAAAGCAACTTTACGAGCTCTGCAAGGAAAAGTATGAACCCTTGTGGCTCAGTGGGGGTGGACATTGCAACCTTGAACTCTACCCTGAATACATCAGACACTTGAAGAAGTTTGTATCATATCTTAACAAATTTAAAGCAGGCTCAAATGGGACTAAAGATCCTGCTGTAGAGTCCGCATCTAATGGATCTTCAAAAGAGTCAACAACGGTGGAATCAGACACTAAAAGCAAGGCTTCAGACACTCAAAGCAAGTCTTCAGAAAATCAGGTTAAGGTTCCCACAACAAACCCAGACACATTTGAGTTGAATCCTGACCTCCCAGAAGTCTCTAGAAACAGCTTAGATAGCCGGCTTGAAAAATCTAAGAAGACTAGCAGGCCTGAAAAATCACGAATGAGCACTGACCAAGTTGACAGATTTAGAAGAAAAAAGGGCTTATTATGGTGATGAAGAATATGACTATATGAGAATCTATACTAAGTGATATTCTTTGCTTCGCTAGAAGGCGATTTTATTTCTTACACGTGCTTCTGTAACAATATGTATTAACTCCAAAAAAGTATAGATTATTGAGTGTGTTAATTCTTGAGTTGTTTTTAAGTCAATACCTCCTGTACTTCATGCGTGTATAATTTAAGAGTTTTTACCAAGTGAATTCTTGTACTTTCAGTTGAATACGAAAGTACTTCTCATGTGTGTTTCTTCTTAGCTGTTTTTTGTTTGTGGCAGTTGCGCTTACGATGTTACAACTATCTCTTATCATTTTCCAGATTAACCCCAGCAAGGGAATTTGTAGTACACAAGTATTAAAGCTTATTTAAATGAACACTTTCTTCAGTAGTTCAGTGTGCATAATCTAAAACACGTAAACTCCTATTGGTGATTCAGGCTTTGGTACTATTGGAAACTTTACTTTGACATTCCAGATGTAACAGTATGGAAGAAAGCCAAGGTGATTTCAAAAACTAATTAATAAAAACTAAAAACAAATGTCATTTGGTTAATTAGATCATAACATGGCATTCAGGGAACATCTACAAGTATAACACAAACTTTTATTTTCTGATCATTACCTTGATCAAGGAAGAAAGGTACTCCCAGCTGTACAATAGTGTTAACTTTGTTCAGACTTGAACAACATTGCATCATAGAAGAATAATCTATCATAAGATATTCATGTGAGACTTCATGTGTTTAGAACAGAGCTCCACAACGTAGACTAGGAATGCTTCGTCAGCTAAATTTATGCAGCAGGCACTTCATTATAGTCTACTGGGTTTTATTGAGAGCATGAAGTAATCTAAGTTTGAGTCATTTCCCGGGAGCACAAGCGCTGGAGCTAGAAGTCTTCAAAATCCTACACTTGGTACCTCTGCCTTTCATGCCTCAACTTGACCCATGTTTCTTGGTGGCTGACAGTGAAATTCTTCCTTTCAACCTTCAACGAAGACATAATTTCTGTGTTCATGCAGGTTTCAGAGTCTGGTCATTTTTTGTTGTGCCTCTCCTCTAAATCAGCCTGCAATGGTTTAATTAAGTTTGTGGGCATGATATACAAAGAAGTGGAATAAGATTTGAAATTAAAAGATGAAGGCAAACATACCAGTTTGAGCTTCAAATCTGCAATTTCGTGTTCCCTTTGATGAGCAAAAAATTTAAGGGACTGATGAATAGAAAAGAAAACATGTAAATCACTCATTCTATATACTTCAGACCAAAATCAAACGAAAAATGCAAATTTTAAGAGATATACTCACTCCTAGTCTTTGAAGTTCTAGGGATCTTTTCAGTGCTTTCTTTTTATCCAGGAGATTTCTACCAAAATCAATGGGACGCTTGTAGTTTTTCCCACGGTAAATAATAATGGCATGGCCTTTCTTTAGCTTTTTAATGCATACTAGTATTCCGCCACTCTCTCTTTCCAGCGTTCTAGCAGTAGAAAGGACCTGCGAGAATGTTTTTTGCATTGATATAACTTTCACAAGTTCCCGGTGCTTCCAATGCTGGTGCAGTCCTTCTATCACTCCATCAAAGACCCCTCGCCTCCCTGATAAACAAGAAGATTATTAAACAAATCCTAACTAGATATTCTACACGCCATGAACTAAATTAATGACTTACAAAAACAATTTCAAATATTTAATATTATGAGATAGAGAAAAGGACACCAATGAAAGGACAGTCCTTACCCAACACTAGAAATCTGTCCATCTTCAAACCTAAGTTCCTGAAACACTCTCTCTCTTCTTCAGTCAACAATTCTTGATCAAGCTCTTCTTCAGAAGGCATCCAGGCAGAATTTAATTTCCTTAAATCCTTTTCTGCTTTCTCGATTTTGATTTTGAGCTGCAGGATCAGAACAAATATATTCAGCTAAATGAACCCTAAGGAGAAGATAAGGGACCAAATTAAAATCGGCTCTCACAATGGCAAGTTTGTGCTCTTGCTTTCTCAATTCCTTCTCTAAGCTTTTTTTCTCAGCTTCAAACTCAATTTCAGCCTCTCTGTTGATGTGGTGTACATTCCTGGAAATCGTTTGTATATGCTGGAATTCTGAAAAGGTACCAATGATACTTTTATCTGTTGAAGTTTCATCACTATAATTAACAACGCCAGCTGCTTTAAGCCGTGCATCTTCTTCATGGAGTTGCCACTGCTGGAGCTCAATCTCTCTCTCAACTACCGCATTTGCAACATTGCTTGGTAAGAAATCCTTGCCTCTGTAGAGAACGATGAAGAACTTGTTACGTAGTAGGAGAACTCCTCCGGTAAGACGCTGCAGATAATATATATTATTATCTTTCTCACTTATATCAGAAAGTATGACTCAGAATTCTATCCTTAAGGGATAGTTCCACTCTAAAATCTGATTGGCATTATATTCATCATATATGAATCCTCAATTTGATTTTCACTTAAGTTATAAATCTACATGATATCATTCTTAGATTCAGTATTAGTTGGTCAAAGAAACTAATTGGACTGGTTAATGCGTCAATACATACAAAGTATGATATAACTGTATGTCTGTATCATTATGCACACTCGCACGAGTATCTGGAAAGCCATTCAAATTCACAAGGAATTAATACCTTCTCACGAATCATGTCAGAAAAGACAGCCTTTTATTTTTGTATGCTATCCTAGTTTTCATTATATAACTATCAATGTAATGAGGATCTAACAAACAAAAGACCCAATCAACAGCTTATGCAGTTATGCATCTGAAATCATAACTGGCATACAAACTATCATATTTTTATGGGACATGACTTGCCTTGAGTTCAGATGCCATGAGTTCGTTATTGGTATTTGGAATACCCCACTTCACAGCAATTTTGGCAAATAAACTTTTCTCCCACAATTTCAAGATGGCAGCAGCTAGACCTTGAAGTTTAGAATTCCTTCCTAAAGAATCAGAAAGACAATGAAGAAGTTAATTATACAATGGTACGCACACCAAACACAAATACATTAATATGCAGGGCCGGTCACAACTGCAGCACCCAGACAGGAACTTCAACGGAAGCAGTTGTAGAGGTATAGTAAGTGGCGAAATTTTAGCAGTGAGCATATAAGTTCACCATATTCTCAAAACTTATGAATTGCACATTTTGTTCTAGTTATCAGACATTAAAGTGGAAAGAATTTCTGAAAATCAAATAGTACAAGAAAACATAAACTTAAAGAGCAAAATGGAGTCGCTACTTGTTGTATCTAGCATACGTCAACAAAATTCATCAACTTATTACTCAGGTTTCTCAACAAATTAAGAAGCTAAGACAAGCAAAGGAAAACTCCTAATTCTTTGGAAGAAAAGAGCATTGAAATCTAAGCTCAAGATTGCATGATTTTATATCTATTGGTAAATCTATTAAAATTTCAATAGGCCATAAAAAAGCTTATAGATAATACTCCGTATAAAATCACTAACATATTGCTAAAATAAAACGCCCCTTTAAATTAGCTAGTAATATAAATTAGCACTCAAGAAGTTGAGATAAGAGTAAAGTTATCTAATCTCATAAAGTCCATTCAAGTGACATATCTAAGATACTAAAACGAAACATTAGCCACAGAGTCACCAAGAAAATACCGAGGACAAAGTGTATTGGTAAAGGCCGAGCAAGTTTCCTCAGGTATGTCAGTTCAGCATCCGTCACATTGGGCCAAACACGAGGTGGACAAAGCCTAAATGGAGGCTTAAATCCAGGAACTACTTCTGGTAGAAGGTCGCCATCAACTGGCAAAGGCTTCGGGTACCACCAGTCAACAAATCGAGGTCCCAATCCATCCAATAATCTATCGCCTTCCCTCTCATACAGTGACTTATCACCTGGCTTAATCCCCAAATTCCTGTCCATCAATAACCCAGTTGATAGAGAATCCTTATCTCTGTCCATAGTCAGGTTAATATCCAACTTCGGTCGAACATAAGCCTTTCGAGACAATTTCCTTGAAAAGTAATTGCATCCTCTATAAGCAACAAGACTATCTTTCTTACTCCACACAACTAATCCTCCTGTTTTAATCTGAATTCATAAAGGCAATTACAACATCAAACTCAGCCTACATTACATGAATTACATAAGTTTATTGTCACCGGAAATAGCACTAATGATTATGATTAATTCAATAGGAGTAACCAGATATAATTAAGTTCAAATAGGTAAGATATGCCTGCAACTACAACACAGTCACTTGCAAGTATGAAAAAATGGCAACATCATATCATGATCAAGTTTTATATGAACATAACTAAATTAAAACATTATCAATCTTTTACTTAACCAATCACATATTCATGCGAGATAATATTCCATGGCACAAAATTTGGCAACAAAATTCATTATAAGCACCTTTAATATAGTATAATCCAAAAACAAATGAAAACTATTATAGTAAATTAGCAACAAACCTCAACAATTTCCCGCGCTCTATCCATATTTCTACACAAAGGCAAATCAAATTGAAGCATAACAAGCTCATTGTTAGCCCAAATTGAATGAATCTCATCAACAATAGCTTGAGTAACACCAATTTTCTTCACCTTAATCCACTTTTGCATCTTTGAAGCTTCTACCCTCAATCTCTTCAACAATGTCTCATCCAAACTCAATTCGGCCGCCGTTACCACTTTCTCTCTCTTCATCCTTCTAAAAACCAGCTTCTCTTCCTTATCCCATGGCATTTTACGCCTCAATTTTGACTCCCCACCATCACCCAACAGTAACCCACCTCCAAAATCACCCCAATTTTTCTGGGTATTATCCAAATTTCTCTGGGTATCATCCCAAATTCTCAGGGAATTATCCAAATTTTTCTGGGTATCAACCAAATCATTACCAGGTTGAAGTCTCTCAATCTTGTAAACAATTTTCTTAACCACCTTCTTACCTTTCCTTCCACTAATTTTCTTAGTAAGTGACCTATCAGCTTTCTGGGTTTCATCAATGGAGGTTCTCTTCTTTTGCTTGAGTTTTGAGAGGTTAAGAACTTCATCAGATGGAAGAAAAAGAGGAGCTTTCATCCATGGAGCAGTGGGCATTTTAACCTTATTACTACCTGAACTTGTAGCTTCATAATCATTATTATCATCATCATAAATTTCTTCACTGAATTCATCATTTTCAGTGGTATTATCACTGTTGTTTTTGGTGCTAAAGGACCGAATTTGAAGGAAGGAAGATGAAGCATTAAAAGAGAGAGAATTCAGGGGTTTAGGGATTTTCAGGAAAAGGGGTTTAGTAGAGAAGGAAAAGGGTGAAGAAGAGAAAGATTCAAGAAATGGAGTTGAAATTGATTGGATGTTTGAAGGAGATAGAAAGAATGTTGCAGTCATTGAGTTTGATGCTACTGAAAAAAAATTGGTGGCAAAAAACGATAAATATGACTAGACCCAAAAACCTAATCCACGGAAATTTGCTATCCTTCATCTTAGACTTAAGAATCATATTCATATAGGGCTTGATCCATTAATAGTTAAGAATTTAAAATAGAATCCTATTCAATTGATCATTGATCCAAATACCCGATCCCATTTTGCTAGTATGGACTATCATATTCGATTGCACTTTTGTCGATTTTGTAAATTCGTACGTGTATATTCAAAATATAGATTTGAATAGTTGAATTTATAGCTAAAAGGTTGTTAATAGCAAAGATTGAAAATCAAGTTATAAAAAAAAAAATTAAATTAAATTGGGGTAAAATGGTAAATAGGGCTACAATATGTAAATGATGTAGTCAAGATGAGTTTTTTAACCTTAGTATTTTATACTGGTGTTACTTGATTAGGGGATTTTGCTCCTCCCAATCGGAATGCGCCACGTGGACCAATCAAGTCTTGCCAAGTGTCCCCTAGTTGGAACTGTCAGGGCTTGCCACGTGGCACGCGCTTATTCGTCCACCTTGGACCTGTTATGTCACGACATGTGGCATACTCCATGCCTAATGGAGAAACCGGCCACCCAGGCCCAATTTCCGAGGGAAGCCCAATCGGCCCTAGGTTTACCTAAACCTAAGATGGGCACGCTTCCCAAGGTTATAAATACCTCCCTTAATCCTCATTAAGGGGGGGGGGGAGAAGAAGATTACGAAAAACATTACGGAACAAACACATTAATTACACACAGTAATAACCGGCTGATCTCGCTAACAAAACAGATTACCTACATTAAACACTCTCACCTAGAGAGACCTTATTACTTTAATTTCCGCATTAATTACTCCTTAATCAGGTACTAACTTGACCGTTGGAGGCGGAGCTCACAGGAGTCTCCGTTATTTTGCAGGTACAGGCGTCCGGTTCCAGTCTCAGAATTGTAACTCTCCCGCAGGACATCAGAAAACCCCGAAACATCTGGCGCCGTCTGTGGGGAGAGTACTTCAGAGATGGCATCCAAGTCTGTACCGACTCCTGAAGAGAGGCGTCCCCTAGACGACCCTCAAGTTCAGTCGGGCCATGACACTGAAAGTGAATTTGAAGTTGAAACTCATACAGCTTCAGACGGGACCCTAAGGGCCCGACGTACCCGTCATACCGAAAGGAGGGAACGGGAGCATCTTCAAACAGGAAGCGAGCCAGCAGGCGCACCGCCTGTTCGGCAACAGCCGACTGATGGGTCTGCTCCCATCACAAGGAACGAACTCATGACCTTCATGAGGGACTTCAAGGGAGAGATTCAAGAGTTGATCAACAAGAAGTCGACTGCTCCAGTCAAGGAGCAGTCGGCCAAGAAACCCTCCACTTCACTGAAGAGGAAGCCAGTTCAAGGGCGAGAGGCGACTCCTCATCCTAAATCTAGGAAGCGGGAGCCACCTGCCCTTGATTTCACAAAATTCCGTTATCCTACAGGAAATAGGAAACCGGTTCGTCATATTCAGGCGGACGGGTCGAAGCAAACATTCACAGATGCTCGGCTACTGCTAGAGCAGAAGAAGAGTGACCGATTGTCAGAGTCGGCCTCTACTTCAAACTTTCAAGACAGTTTGCGAAATGCCTCGATGAGGCATACTCAGTCGTACCCTGAGAGTCAGTCAGGCGGCACCTCCCGTCAGTCCGGCTTTCATAGTGCCCAGGCGGTACCAAACTTACCATTTGTGCCGCAACAACAGTATTTTATGCAGCCACCTCCATTTGGTGGACCTGCAGCAAAAAACGTCCAACCTATGGACTGGCAGCTACGGTTGCTTAGACTTGGTGAACAGCCGTCGGCCTTCTCCAAGGAAATTACTGAAGCCGCTCAGCCGGCCAAAGTGAAAAATGTACTAGTAGGCGCTTATGACGGCACTACTAACCCAGAAGACCATCTGATGGCATTCACCAATCTGATGTACCTTCAAGGGTTGGATGATCCCACTTGGTGCAAATGTTTCCCAGCGACTCTCAAAGGAATCGCGCAGCAATGGTTCGGCAACCTGCCGACTGGTTGTGTAAATAGCTTCAGGACGCTTGCTTACTTATTTGCCTCCAACTTCGCCATGAACATCCCTGCGAAGAAAACGACCCTTGATTTGGGAACAATTCAGCAGGGCGAGAAGGAGGGGCTTCGTTCTTACATCAGGCGGTTTAACCTGATGAGAATACAGATTCAAGGGTTACCGGATGAGGTAGCTTATACTGACTTTTTTAGAGGTCTCAAAGACGGGTCTACCTTCAAATTTGATTTGGTTCGAAAAAGGGTGGCGACTCTTCAAGAGGCCTTGATTGAAGCAGAAGCCTATATACAGGCGACTGATCTTTGTACAATAAAACAGTCGGGCGGGAAAAGGTTCGACAAAAGAGAAGGACGACAGAAACAGTCGTCAAACAAAGATGAGAAAAGAAAAGAGGTCTGGGCGGCTGATTCCTCTAAAAAGCCGGCCCAGAAAAAGAAAAAAGAATTCAAACCATACTCCCCAAAGTATGCGTTTAACAAGGATAACCAGTTTATCCTAAAAGAAATCAAGGGACGGATCTCAATTGAGAAGCCGGTCCCCATGAAGGGTTCTGCAAACAACCGGAACCAAGATAAAATCTGTGCTTATCATGATGACGTTGGTCATCACACCAATGACTGCATCAGTCTTATGCGGTACCTAGACCGCCTGGCTGAGCAAGGTGATCTTGACACTTATGTCAAGAAATCTACGGGGAACACTTCCTCAAAAAAGCAGTCGGCCAAAAAGAATCAACAGGCCGACAGCTCCGATACAGATGATGCAGTCGTCTACACCATTGCAGGCGGCTTCTCAGGAGGCGGCCCCACTATTAGGGGCAACAAAGATAATATAAGGCGGTTAGATGTAAATTCCGTTCACCAAGAACGGCCGTCCAAATATACATTTCCTGAGATTGTCATCACTGAAGAAGATCTAGGAGGGGTAAGGGGGCCGCATGACGACCCTCTCGTTATTGAATATAAAGTGGCCAACCAGAGATTTGGCCGAATCCTCATAGATACCGGGAGCTCCTCAGATCTCATCAGTAGCAAATGTCTGTCGAAACTGAAGTATCAGACTGATTGCATACATCCGGCCTCCCACCCTTTAGTAGGGTTTGGAGGAGGAGTCGTCCACCCACTGGGACGAGTAGACTTACCCATTCGCCTGGGCGAAAAAGGGGAAGGACGACACATGGTAGTCCGGTTCTTAGTAGTAGAGGAACTCTCGGCCTACAACATGATTCTGGGTCGACCAACCCTGAATAATTCCAAGGCTGTTATAATCCCGTCTCTTATGTTGCTCAAGTTTGAGAGGGATAATGGAACAGTCGGCTCCCTAAGGGGAGATCAGAGGATGGCCCGAGAGTGCTATCTCTCGGATGTCAAGCCCACTATTATGGCCACTGGGTCAAGTGGTGAAAAAACAAACCTTGACAATGTCAAGGAGGGTGCGCCTGTTCAAGAGGCAGGCGGCAAAAAGAGAAAGGCGTCCCAGACAGAGGCCGCAAGAAAAGCAAGAAAATAGCAATCATTGGCAGAGGAGCGGCCGGATGAGTTCCGCCCTCAGCCGGCTGGTGAGCATGCGGACCTGATCTTAGACGACTCACGTCCTGACCGAACAGTCAAAGTTGGGACGACTGCTCTGAGAAACCTTGGTGACGACTTTCACAACCTATTGAAAGAATACAAGGACATCTTTGCATTCGAAGTCCATGAAATGCCAGGCATTAGTCCTGATCTGGCGGTACATAAACTCGCCGTGGATCCGAAAAAGAAGCCGGTACGACAAAAGAAGCGGAACCATGGCGAAGAAAGAAGTCAGGCGGCAGCCGCCGAAGTTAAAAAATTACTTGATGCAGGGTTCATTCGGCAATGTTACTTCCCAGACTGGGTTGCAAATGTGGTGCTTGTTAAAAAGCCGAATGACACCTGGCGAATGTGTGTAGACTACACAGACTTAAACAAGGCGTGTCCCAAAGACAGTTACCCTCTGCCTAAAATTGATAACCTGGTCGACTCAACAGCCGGCCATGCCTTGATGAGTTTTATGGACGCCTATTCTGGTTTCCATAAAATTCCTTTATGGAAGAAATATCAGGAGAAGACGGCCTTCGTCACTGATCAGGGGTTATACTGTTACACGGTCATGCCGTTTGGTCTTAAGAATGCCCCGGCTACCTTCCAGCGAATGATAAACACTGTGTTCTTTGATCAGATTGGGAGAAACGTCGAGGCATATATTGATGATATGATTGTCAAGACTAAACTTCAGAAAGATCATCTGTCGGACCTCCGAGAAACTTTCGCCACAATCAGGCGGCACCATGTCATGCTCAATCCCAAGAAATGTGTATTTGGAGTTGAGTCTGGGAAATTTCTCGGATTCCTTATCAATCAGAGAGGAATAGAGGCGAACCCTGAGAAGGTGCAGGCGGTCATTAACATGCAGTCGCCTCGTACCATCCGAGAGGTTCAGAAGTTAACAGGTTGTCTGGCGGCCTTGGGAAGATTTCTAAGCCGATCAGGCGACAAATGCCTATACTTTTTCCAGGCAATTAAGAAAAAGGCAAGGTTTGAATGGGGGCCGGATGCTGAGGCCGCCTTCCAGAAATTAAAAGTTCACTTGCATTCCTTGCCGAGGCTGGTCAACCCTTTGCCCAAAGAGGTTCTCTACATGTACCTGGCCGTCTCTGATCATGCGTTAAGCGCTGTTCTCCTTGCTGAAAGGGACGGCTGTCAGCTCCCGGTCTACTTTGTCAGTCACGTACTGAAAAATGCCGAGTTGAGGTATCCCCTAGTGGAGAAATTCGGTCTTGCACTCTTCATGGATGTTAAAAAATTGAAGCCCTACTTTTTGGCACATGCAGTCGTCGTGTATACAGACCAACCTATCAAGCGGCCACTGACCATCATGGAGTCGTCAGGCCGAATGATCAAATAGGCCATAGAAATACAGAGCCTCGAAGTTACTTTCGAGCCTAGAAAAGCAGTGAAGGGGCAAGCCTTTGCTGATTTTATTGTAGAGATGACTCTTCCTCCTAACTCTCAAGTTCCAGACCAAGTATGGAAGGTATATGTGGACGGAAGCTCTACTTCAAATGGTTGTGGAGCAGGCGTCATATGTCAGTCGCCAGAAGGCGACAGGTACGAGTATGCTCTACGCTTCAGTTTTCAGGCTTCAAACAATGAGGCAGAATATGAAGCTTTACTAGCCGGGATCCGCATGTGCAAGGCGGCAGGGGCAAGAAAAATAGACGCCTGTTCCGATTCACAATTGATAGTGAGTCAGTACAATGGCGAATACGAAGCAACCCATCCGGCCATGATCAAGTATTTACAGGCGGTCCGACAAGCAGTCGGCTCCCTTGAGGATTTC